CCTCATTTTGGTAGCTTATTGGAGAGAAGACTCAAAAGGTCTGAGTTAGCACAATGGACAAATACACGGATTCCAGCCCCTGAACTCTTGAGGGTCCCTTTTTCTAATAGGGCCACTTTTTCTACCAGGGAGCTTCCATTCTTACCAAGTTGCCTAACTACTCTGTTGCCCCCTCCAACTTCCCTATCAACATGTGCAACACCATGGGGAAGGGTCCCTCTCTGCATGTGTCCATTTATACTCCAGCATAAATTATAGGATAATGGAAGCACTGTGTACAGGGAACTGACATGGACAGCTTTCCATATCAGTAGAAAATTTCTATATGCCACTGTATGAATGTATTCCCCTGCTGATTCACACTTGAGTGAGAATATTCTTTAATCAGAGAATGCCCATCAATGGCAGGAGCAACCACTTCTGATGCTAAGAGTACACGCTCAAGGAAGTAGATTGATGCGTGGGATGTAAGAATGAGTGCATTAGTGGCCCCACTTCTTCACCCCTCCTTTACCATGCCCTTTGCCCAGAGTACTCTGTAATACCTCCTCACTCTGACTCTGGGTTTGGGAATGCTAACAAATGTGACAAAAGAGGCCTGAAAAGCTCTTACTCTTTGGGGATTGTGCCTCTTGCCCCTTTACCACTGCCAGAATATGCCCAGGCTAGCCTGCTGAGGAATATGATAGATGTGTGGAGGAGGACCAACTTCCCCAGCTAACCATGAGCTGACCCAGAAGCATAAGCTTCCAGTCAACAGTAAGCCTATGTCCAGACATGTAAGCAAGACGGGAAGAGCCATACAACCTAAGCCATGACCCATACACTCATGCACTAAAGTAAAAGGCTCTGTTTAGCTACTCATTTTTTTGGTGAATAATATATATTATTATTTGTGGTGACAGATACAAGGGATGAAGTCTCCATCCCTCCCCCCTACTTCACAACGGCTGTTCTTATTAAGAGATATTTTCTTTCTCTGTTGCCCGTGTAGACTTCAGGTTTCACTTGACTTAGGATTCCAAGGGCAGGAGTGATGGGTGGACATTGGTTTGTCCAGTGGCAATAGCAGGTCCCAATCTGCTTCTGGTAGAATGATTTTTTTGCAAGTGTTATATGTTCTGAATACAGAGAAGAGGAGGAAGGTAACAGGTGGCTGGGCAAGGTATCCAGAAGTTAGGCCAAGTGCACAGGTGGTTAAGTCAGAAATTAAGGATCAAGGTGCTGGCCCGTGGCTCACTGGGAGAGTGTGGTGCTGATAACACCAAGGCTGCGGGTTTGGATCCCTATATAAGGATGGCTGGTTAGCTCACTTTGGAGAGCATGGTGCTGACACCACCAAGTCAAGGGTTAAGATCCCCTTACTGGTCATCTTTAAAAAAAAAAAAAAGAAATTAAGGATCAAATAAAAAGGGCTAAGTCATTGGAAATCTAGAGTTCACACTCCCAAATGATAAAGTGGGATCAACATAAGGAGGATTCAGGGCTAGCTACCTAGCTCACTTGGTGCTGATAACATCAAGGTCAAGAATTTGGATCCCCATAGTGGCCAGCCATAAAAAGGAAGTAAAAGAGAAAAAAATAAAACAAAACATAAGGATTCAGTAAATGCAACAAACAAGATTTAGCACCAAAAGGACTAAAGACTAATAGAATAATCTGAAAGAAAATGTAGTAAATGAAGTTAAAAACTCAATGGATCTGTTAAACAGCAAATTGGAATTAAAATTCAATGAATAGGTCAAATAGTTTAAGGAAAAAATTAGTATTTGAGGCTACCATCCAGCATGTAGCACAAAGAGATAAAGTAGAAAATATTATAGAGGGGTTATGTGTTATATAGAGGATGGAATGAGAAGGTCCCCCATACATCTAATAGGGGATGTAGAACCAGAGGGAGAATAAGAAAAGGTAATTTCACCATTTTTCCACCCAATCTTCACCATCAATTTGATGTTTGTTCTTACTTCAATTTTAGCAAAATTCATGTTGCTGTGATGGGGCTCTTTTCAAACTGGTGTCTTATCCTTCTTAGCACCTCAAACTAGATCTTGTTCAGACATGTTATAACAAGTTAGTACAAGTTTCTTTTGGTGCAAAAATCTGAAATCTGTGCATAGGTTTTCATAACACACATTTTCCATAACTTTTTGAAGACCCCTTCGTGTATACACAAACTTAGTAAACAACAGAGGCAACGGTGTGTTATCAGAGAAGGGGTCACTCATTGAAACAGTAAACTAAAGGGTGTGAGGTACTCACACCATATACAAAAATCAAGGTAGAATCAAGTACTAAAGATTCAAATCTTTAAACATTTTAGAAAGTATAGAACATTTCTGACCTTGAGGTAACACAGAAACAGAGTTAAAATATAAATCACAGACCACAAGAAGAAATTTCCAAGGCATACAGTTCTAACAAAGGATAATATCCATAATATGTCAAAAAGAAGAAAAAACTTCATTTCTTCATGAGGAAGAAAAAACCCAATATGAAAAAAAGGCAAAGGAAATAAACTCACAGAAGTGTGGAAACCTAAAAGGCCAATAAACAAAACAAAGGACAATCAGGTTCACCTGTAAATATGAGGAATGTAAAATAAAACGAGACACCATCGGGCCGGCCCATGGCTCACTTGGGAGAGTGTGGTGCTGACAACACCAAGTCAAGGGTTAAGATCCCCTTACCGGTCATCTTTAAAAAAAAAAAAAAAAAAAAAAGAGACACCATTTCAGTCCCAGACCAGCTAAAACGTTAGGATGAACTAATATTAAGAGCAGGACAGAAGGGGAGAAATAAGCACTCTCTCATACACTGCTATGGGAATATAAACTGTGAGCGTGGTGCTGACAACACCAAGTCAAGGGTTAAGATCCCCTTACCGGTCATCTTTAAAAAAAAAAAAAAAAAAAATGAGACACCATTTCAGTCCCAGACCAGCTAAAACGTTAGGATGAACTAATATTAAGAGCAGGACAGAAGGGGAGAAATAAGCACTCTCTCATACACTGCTATGGGAATATAAACTGGGTCTACCACTTTGGAGATCCATTTGAAAACATTTAGCCATGCTGAAATTGCACACACCTTTTAACCCAACAATTTACTTCTAAGTACAGGTACTTACCCAGCATATAAACTCACACATGTGAACAAGAAGGGATGTTCAAATACATTCGTTCACTGTAACATTGAAATGGGGAAAAACGGGAAAACCATATTAAAATTTTTCTTTCAGTAGGGGAATAAGAATTGTGACATGTTCAAACAATGCAATACAAAACAGCATTTAAAATGAATAAACCAGAGTCACATTTATCAGATAAATTTCAAAATACTGTTAATTGAAAAAGCAAGTTATAAAAGGAGATATATACCATAAATACCATGCTATACATTGTTTATGGATACATCTGTAAATATAGTACACACAAAAACATAGACAGGAAGATACCTACCAAATTCAATATAGTGCTTACCTTTGGAAAAAGAAGAATTAGATTAGATGTGGTGGTAGTTTAAAAGTATAAGTTTATTTTCTTTTTTAAACAAGGGACCTTGAAACAAATAATCCATTAAAGCTGGATAGTATCTTCAAGAGGTGTTATCTTCTGCACTTTCAGTGCTTGAAATATTTCAAAAATTAAAAATAAAAGTAACCAAATGAAAAAATGTTAGAGAAAGACAGTACTTCCAAGCTTTTATTACACCGATTTTCTATAATACACATTACTTGTAGTATTATCATTTAGTCTAAAGAATAAAACTGATGTTAGTTTTTCTATTTTGTTTTGGGGTAGCCAGGCCTACGAAAACTTTTTAAACTGGGGATTTAATTTCTCATAAGAGCATCACCAATTTTATTTCTCCTTGTTGGGGCACAATCCTTCGCGTGCTCATGACAGACACTGTTGATCCCCAACTCAATAGCCCTATCTCTTGCTAACAGAGCCAACTTTATTCAGGTATCAGAAGGTGATATGCTTCAAAGGTAGGCCCCTTCACAATCTAAGGTGAAGGAATCTTAATTAAAGGCAATTACAATAATTCCATTCTTCATGTCAATAAATGATTTAGAAATGGGCATTTAATATCTTTTAGTAAGACAAGTAGGTGAAGTCCACCAAGTGGCTTCTGCAAAAGGGAATATCTTAAAAGAGACACAGAAGAACAATTTCTTCTCTTCTTTAGACACTGTTGTGCAAGCAGATGATGCCTGGAGATGTCGCCAGCATCTTGCTATTCCATAAAGGGTCAACTCTGAAGACAAAACTCACAGTAGAAGATGGATGGGCAGAAAAACATGGAAAGAACTTGGGTCCCTAATGCCACCAATAAGCCACTGAATTTACCGGTCATGGAATTGCCCTACCCAGACTTTTTGTGAAATAAGTTTTCCTTATTGTTTAAGTCACATTTAATTAGGTTTTCTGCTGTTTGCAGCTTACTGCATATTGATACAATGATCTTTACCAAACAAAACACAAAACTCTGAAGAAAGTACAAATTCCAGTGAGTTCTTGATGGTTATAAAGACTTTGTTATTCTCATATAGGCTGGAGGCAGGAATTTTGCAAACTACACAAATAGCTGTAGCCTTACCAGAACCCCGCAATTTTGATTCACACTTTCCCAATCATTGAACAATCCTAAAGAAAATATGCTTATCTTGTTTTTAGCACCGTTAGCCACCTCTAGAAACGTGAAAGAAAGTCCAAATTTGCTTCTTTGGAAATATTTAAAGGCCTTTAATCTGTAACATTCTTTTGTAACTCTTCATATGTGGTTCCCTAAATGTTTAAATACGTATTCTAACTTTCCAACAAAAGAAAGGAATAGGAAAGGAATTTGTTTCTTTTCTAGCTTTACCCCACACCTGGGCAGATCCACAATCCAGTATTCTATATAGGTATTCAACAAGGTTGTAGAGCCAACTCCACAACTATGGAGAAAGTTTTCATGTAAATATCATGCTTCTGTAATAAACTACAAAGGTATGAACATTTTAATTAAATCAATTTATTTTAAAAGATTATAAAAGATGACATAGAGAAAGATTAAAAAGACCCACAGGATTTAAACTGACAAATACAAAAACGACTGGCTATAAACAATGTAAAAATACATTTCCTAGTCCCCAAACAGAACATAATTTAAGTACAGTAATTATAAAATATTTGTACTGTAAGTGTATTTTCCTTAACCATTTTAAACAATTTGTCTGTATAAAATATAACAAATTAAATTTACCACAGCTGTTAGTAAAAAAATTATTTTAAATTTTAGTTTATCGAGTTTGCCCTTTTCTGTACATAACAGTGGTTTCTGGTCCCAAGCTCTCCTTGAACTTATTTACTACAATGGTCTTTTTACTCTTACTTCTTTCTACGATAGAATAGAGAGGCTAAACAATCATGGATCCCATAAAAAACAATGTGAAGGAAGGTTCTAAGAGTGATGAAAAATACCAGTGAACATAATCCTTTCCATTTCAGAAAGATAATAAGTGGCCAAATAAGAGGCCCACTTCTGCACCAATGACACAAATGGGAGATGAAACCTCAGAACAAGCAGAGCTTAAGCTCAATGCCAGTATGTGTCAAGCCAGCTGAAAATATGTCTGTAGTCTCAACTAAGCCTAATGCATGGGTGGTGACCCTGAGGTAGCCCAGATGATTTGCTGTGATTTCTAGATGGGTCTAGATGACATTTAAAATGATATAGTACAGTTTGATGTGAAATTCTACAATGTGTCTACTGTAAACTTTTAACCAGTCTTTATTCTTGGACCAAAGACCCAGCTATTTCTCCTCTCTTTGATGACATGCTCAGTAAAAACAGCATCCATGATTGGTTCATCATCTTCCAAGTAGGTAGCAGTGACATCGCCATCAACACTAGCATCCAAACTCCGATACAAATGGATAAGGTACTGAGTAAGTAAGACAGAGCAGAAAATACGTCTGGCTGTATCGACCAATTTCTGAGAACCACATTAGCCACATTCATGCAAATGAAACCCATCTACAACAAACAAATGTCAGATGAGAAATTTTGAAAACATGGAGTCATTAAACTGTATCACTAGAAACATGATTCTACTGTTTCAGAGAGAAATCTAGCCTGGGAGACCTCCATCACAGTACTGAAGGATCTGACATAAGGGCTTATCACCTTAACACTAGAGTCTCAGGTCAAAATTCTAGAGGAGGACAAGAAAGGTCTAGTCTGTGAACCACTTGGGCAGAAAGGTCCTATCCCAAGTGCCCTCTCTGTCTGGTTCTAAGACAGCCTGCCAGCAGCAGACAATTCTTCCACATTATTAGAAATGGTTATGAAGTGTCTCCTGAGACTGGTTTGACTACTCCCTTATGCCATCAACAGCATTAAACTAGGAAGGGTTCTCTGGATATTCACTTGCTTGGTCTTCTCCAAAAAGAAACTAGGGCAATGCCTACGTGGGAACAAGGACCCTAAAGATCCTACTACATACTCTTCACAATTAAAAGAGCCCAAGATTCTGGATCACCTATAGACAAACAACATCAAGAAAGAGTCAGAGCCAGAGGCCCACCTCTGCCAAATGATGAAGCAGCATATAGACCATTCTGACAAGGAGACAGAACAGGGAGCATCTCGAATAAATGAAAAATCAAAGGCCAGGGTTTTAAAAAGGCTGGCTCCAAAGAAAACATTAAAGAAGACCCACAGAGGTGTATTAAGTAGAAATAATCATATGGCAACAGAAAAATGGACCATTTTCCAACTTGTAGAATGAACTCATCTCTTCAGACACTTGGTAAATAGTCAAAGACTTATATAATTACTTTCACTGTATTGAACAAAACGTCTGTCTTTCTTATCTTTGGTCCTATGTATATCAGCTTCTGCAATTTTTCTACGTGTTACATAATCTTTTTAAATTTGATATTAACAACCAAAGTGCAATATAAACATGAGGTTGCTGATACTGTTTTCATACAAATAAAATACCAACACCTCTCATACATTTTATATTAGGCTCTACAAAGGTCTCAGAAAGAGTTAGTAATAATTATCCAAAAATGTTACAATATAATTTTAAGGCTGAGTGAGATACAGTAAAGCCTGGTATTATATATTAAGGAAAAAACCTAGACCAACATTTTAAATATTGATCTCTTAAATATATGTTAAATTTCCGTAACAGAACATAATCTAATCATCAAAACAAACTAATGGTTAAGCAAATTAATTTTAAAATGAAACAACTTCTAAATGGATGAATATAATCATGCTGTTTATACAGCTATAAAGCATAATTTGAAAGCTAAGTCTAGTAAGAGAATGTTCTGTAACAGAATTACAAAATCATTTATCATCAGTTGAGCTGTGTGATTTATAGAAACAGTTGTTCTACCCAATCCCACCCCTGCAACACCATCTATAATTGAGGCAAGTTTTGACCTTTATTAAAAAAAAAAAAATTTGTTTTTAAAACTCTCAGGCCTAATTTGTGGGGACTGACACACATTCTGATAGTGATAAAACTGTCCTCCTGCTCTTCCCCTTTGCTTTCCAAAAGAAGTAGTTTAAACAATTACATAAATTCTACATGAGTTTCTGCCAGGGCTCAGGCATCATAACGCAGAGTCACTACTTTATGTAATTCCTGCTCCATAGAGTCTTTAAGCATTAAGTGGTTCAGTGAGGGCTTCTACCCTAGTGGTATTCTCAGATTTTCTCAGCTGGGACTCTTGTCGTTTTTCACAGAGCATGGCAACAAAGTCAAACAGGAACATAAAACTTGCTATAAATCCAAACACCTGAGGAGGAAAAAGGGGAAAAGTTTATTTACATAACCTTATATATAAAGGAATTTTGAAATATAATCTCTCATACTTGGCTCTGAGAGTGTTTCATACAAGCAAAACAATTCATCAATTTTATCTTATACATATAGGACTGGCCAGTTAGCTCACTTGGTTACAGCACAGTGTTGGTAACACCAAGATCAAGGGTTTGGATCTCCTTACCAGCCAGCCACAATAAAAACATAAATAAATATCTTGTACATACAACTCTTAATTAAAAATAGTAAAATTTTTTTAAAAGGCATCAAAAAATAGAAGTTACAAAAGAAAAATTTTCAGAATAATGTCTTAGTCAAAGTCTCACAAAATATAAATGTTCTGCCTTATGTGTGCATGTGTACGTGTGGGGTGCCGATCTATGAAACTAAGGTTAGCAGGTGAAAAAAATAATCCTATAAAATGATACAAAACACAGGATTATTAGCAATGGTTAGACTGACCCATGGATGTAGTAAGGGAAATATGTGACTAGGCAACTCAACCTAAGTAAAAATGGAAAAAGTTATTCATATCAAAACAGAAATTCCATTTTGAAGATACTATTAGGTTAAATTACTTAAAATACATTTCCCAGTTAATTGCTACAGTGTAATGACACAGTGACATGATGCCACTACCTACTCCTTCTTCCTCAAATCACTTTCTCACTGTACTCTTCTAACATACGATCAGACATTCTGAGAATTCTGTCAAGAGACAGAAGACCATGCTTCAAATTGAGCTTCTTCAATAGCAAAACCCTTAAGGAAGTGGGAGCCAAAGAAGTGCTGTATAAAAAAGGGAAAATTGATGTAGGTGATGCCTAAAGTCTCTTCCAAGTCTAACGCTCCACCTCCATAACTTTTAACATTCTGTTAGTCTGCTGCAGTCTCCTGACTCTACCCCTCTGCAACTTCTGTACCCTAAGAATATGCATTCTGCTTCATTTCACCATGCAGCAAACTGAATTCCAAATTCATTAATTCACTTGGATGTTCCCAACATATCCAACCTAAATTTAATTATCAACCCACCCCCCAAACCCAAGTCTTTCTCAAACCCTCTGGAGTCTTATTTTGGCTTGATGCCATCTACCCCCTTATTTGCCTTGCAAACTTCTTGAATACTTCAAATGCAAACCAGATGCCAGCTTGTCTGACCACCTCAGAGAGCTCCAGTCCCTACAGGCCCTCTATACTATATAATCCAGACAAGTAATCTTCCAGCTCTTTTGCTTATATTCTTCTCAATTTTTTTTTTTTTTTAAATAAAAATGACTGGTAAGGGGATCTTAACCCTTGACTTGGTGCTGTCAGCACTACACTCTCTGAAGTGAGGTAACCAGCCATCCCTCTATAGGGATCCGAACCCGTGACCTTGGTGTTATCAGCACCACACTCTTCCAAGTGAGCCACCGGGCCAGCCCCTTCAATTTTTTTTTTTAATGGACTCCCTCACTCATTTAAGTCACCACCCCCTTTCCTCCTCAGAAAAGAAAAAAATATATGCTTTTATTTTTAATTGTCTCTTTGTTTTATTCAAGGGTTTTTCATCTTATTTTGTTTTACAACTATGGCAATGAACCATAGTAAGATTTAGGATAGGCAAGTACATTTTTTTTTCTTTTCTGGGGAGGAGAGGGGGTGGTGACTGTGAAAGGGAAGATGGAAAATAACTGATTAGACTCCACCACCAGAGATGAACTCTAAGACACATTGATTTTAAGAAAGATACATATAAAGGTAAAAAAGCTGGAAACTGATTTCCTCAAAAACTATCCCTGCTTTAGTACCTCTTGGAAAGTATTGATAAACTTTTAAGAATATGCATAACTCATTGAAGACTACTGTCTAGACCAACTTCTATTGGTTGATTTAACATACTCCATTAGAATTTGTTTACCTATCTCCGTCATTAGACTGAATCTTTGAGTCACTTCTCTACACCTAGAACACCACCTGGCATGTAGGTGTGCTTTTGTTGAACTTAAAAACAGAGAAATATAATAAAGTCAATTTTATCACTTGCATTAGCAATAACATGTTCACATGTGGAGTAAATGGTCTTTTGTTAACAAAACTCAGTCAAACTCTAGACGGGTTCTAGTTTTTTAAGGTTGTCATATATTTATTTGCTTTTGGTCTTTATTCAAAATTACACTAAAAAACAAGTTAAAAGACAAACTACTCTTACATATTGTATAACTTGTCAAGTACTTTCCAAATTCCATATTTCTGAAAAAACAAAAATAAGCAAAGTTAAAAATACAAGGTACTTACTATTGCAGCAAATTCAGCTGAGGTGCGGTCATGCGTGGAAACAAAAATGATGGACGCCAACAAAAAAACACATCCCGTTCCCAAAGTAATATAAAAATCCTATGCATACATGTAAAACATATAAGGAGTATAGTAAGGTTAAATTCATGAAAACAAACTTTTTTTCATTTTTAATTTTAAAAAGCTTCAATGACTTTTTTGACACAACCTGAACTTACATACCCTAACTTCTAAGTTTTCAATAAACCTGGCATTCAACGAATACCCTATAAAGAATCCACACTCTGGGCTGGGCATATAGACAGAGTACATCACAAGATAACCTTTTAATAAAAACAGTCCTCTAAAAGGCTGTGTCTGGGGGCTGGCCTGTGGCTCACTCGGGAGAGTGCGGTGCTGATAAAAGGCTGTGTCTGTGTGTCCTCTTTTTCTCTAGGACATACTAAAATTATCATAGCCAAAGGATTTATTACAATTCCATCTTACCTCCAACAAAAAAAATTTTTTTTCCTCCTTTCAAAGTATTCTATGCTAGGATAGCATCTCTGTGAGTACTTCAGTGCTCTGAAAGCACTTTGGAAAAGAGAGAATCAAAAAAAACCACCCATCATTAACTAAATAAGAGTACACCAATTGTGTATTTTTTAGACACTTAAGCTTTCTGGAATAACATACATATCGCCTTCAACTGTTCCAAGTGGGTATTCCAAAATGAGCTTGTATGAGAAGCTTATCTACTGCATAAAAGCTTTCATATCTCATCATAATGCAGCTTATAACAATACACTGCTTCATGGGTTTCCAAGTGCTCTCTCAGCCATTACTTCATAAGGCTCTCATATGCCAAATGAAGACAGTGCTTGACAAACATAATTGATTCTGAGGGGGAAACTGGTAAAATGATAGCCACTCCAAAGGGTTTTAAGCCTGATACTTTTTGAGTTTTCTGAAATGCAACTTCCACTAAACCTAATATCAATAAAACTATCCAATATAGAATTCCAATGCTGTCGATCATTTACTTAACATTTATAAAAAATTGAAGTTTTTTCTCTTTGCTTACGAAAGAAGTGTTTTCCTGCAGAACTTCCTCCATGTTTTTATTCCTTTTAATATTATTTCAAATCTATTCCATACAAATATAAAACTCTATTTACTATTATTTGGAGTACATTCAAGGAGATATTTAAACAAGACAATCATTTTGAGACAGAATAATGCAGTGTTCAATAAACACGAGTTCTAGAGCCAGACTACCTGAATTCAAATCCCAGCTACACCACTTCTTAACTATGTGACTTTGAACTAGTTACTTAACATCTATGTGTCTCTGCTTCTTCATCTGCAAAATGGGGATAATAAAAGTATCTTCTTCATAAGGTGATTCTAAAGATTAGAGTTAATCCATAGAAAGTACTTATATCAGTGCCAGGCACATAGTAAATGTCCCATAAGTGTTGGCTATTGTTATTCTTAATAGAATCTGATCCACAACAGCATGGGATAAAAAAGATTCTTTCTTCAAGATTATCGTTCCTCCCTAGACACCACCACCATTATCACACACTCAAAACATTTTTTCTAAATGAGAATACCTTTCCTACATGAAAAAATATTTAAAATTTAAGCACATTAATACAGAGAGAGTAAAAAAAAAGATTTTTAAACCATGCCAACAAACATGAAATCCTTATATTAGGTGAAAAGTAGAATATATATTTTTATTATTACAAATATTTTAGATTTTAAAAATCACCTAGGTGGCTGGCTGGTTAGCTCAGTTGGTGTTATAATACCAAAGTATTATAATACCAAGGTCAAGGGTTCAGATCCCAGACCTGCCAGCCACCAAATAAATAAATAAATAAATAAATAAATAAATAAATAAATAAATAAATAAATAAATAAATAAATAAATAAATAAATAAATAAATAAATAAATAAATAAATAAATAAATAAATAAATAAATAAATAAATAAATAAATAAATAAATAAATAAATAAATAAATAAATAAATAAATAAATAAATAAATAAATAAATAAATAAATAAATAAATAAATAAATAAATAAATAAATAAATAAATAAATAAATAAATAAATAAATAAATAAATAAATAAATAAATAAATAAATAAATAAATAAATAAATAAATAAATAAATAAATAAATAAATAAATAAATAAATAAATAAATAAATAAATAAATAAATAAATAAATAAATAAATAAATAAATAAATAAATAAATAAATAAATAAATAAATAAATAAATAAATAAATAAAAATCACCTAGGAATAGAAACAAAAGACTCAAAAGAAATACAGCAAACTAATACAAAAGCTGTTTTAGGATGAAATGACTGATTTATTTTTCCTGTTTCAGTATTTTTAAATCAGTATTTACTCTACAATAACTTTTCAAATGCTCAAGTTTGATGTAATAAATGTTTTACGTTTTGTTTAGGTTAGTTAGACCATTAAACTAAACTGGACAATGTTATAATATTGTTTCTCATTTAAAAAATCAATGCACTTCAAACACTACAGATACAGCATTACAGTAAAAGCTAAACATTTCTAAAAAATATTTTTATGGATACTGACTTTGTTTCACTGTTGAGATAAGACATGAAAAACAATTTCAACCTTTAATGCTTGAAATATAAATTTATAGAAACTACAAATAAACAAATCAACCAGCTCAGACACTTGAGAACTTTTCCCTTGTCCAAATCTTATGGCATACTTATCTGTAAAAAGGAAGAATTTTTGAAGACTACAAATATAATTAACAAAAATTTTAAGGTATTACCTGCATCCTCTTCTTAATATAAGTATTTCGTAAAATAACTGGGTGCTGTTGTCATTGTTATACAGAGATTCTTGTAGTGATTGAATCTGCCATGACTGTATCTAAAGTTGCTAGAGCATTAGTTCTAATAGGATTCTTATTAACATGGTAGAATAGAGTGTGAGGGCTTTCCCTATGTTCAAATCTCAGTTCATTTTTACCCTAACTGTATTAACTTTAGACAAGTTACTTAACCACCCTAAACCTAAGTTTCTTTGACAGAAAAGGGGAGCATAAGGTGTAAGGATTTTAAATCACAGCACATAAAGTGCCTGGCACACAGTACACACTGACTGCAGCCATCAGCAGCCAAGATGATGAAAAGTTATTAACTTTTTGGTATCAACTTTTAATTTTTTAACTTTTTAAATTAAAATAATTTTTTAAAAAAGGTAATAGATCCCTATAGCACAAAATTCAAGAGGTACAAAAGTGTATGTGGAAAAAAATACCTTACTTAGGTGTATAATCAATATATGATCCAATTAACTTGCTTCTCATTAATTTAAAACAATAGAATCTTACTGTTTTGTTTGTTTTTGTACTATCTCTTGTTCTTTTTTTTTGGTGGCTGGCCAGTATGGGGATCCAAACCCTTGACCTTGGTGTTATCAACACCACACTGTAACCAACTGAACTAACCAGCCAGCCCCTTGCTATATCTTACTGTTAATAATTAAAAATCTACCATAACTTTTATCCTTTCCCTCAGAGATGTGAACTCTTTTATATGTCAACCCTGACATGTACAAAATCTTCACAAACCACTACTGACAACTCAAATGTTATTGAAGAAGTAAATTGCTCAATTCTTTCCTCAAATTCAGTACCTATTACTCCGACAATGGATTATTTCATATGTCATCCTATAAATCCAAACTATACTCAAATATGTTATTGAAGAAGTAAATTGCTCAATTCTTTCCTCAAATTCAGTACCTATTACTCCGACAGTGGATTATTTCATATGTCATCCTATAAATCCAAACTATACTCAAATAAAAAATAGGGCCAGCTGACTAAGTCTTCAGAAAGTTAAGCATCTCTAGTTTTGTGAAAATCAGACTCCCATGTACAATTTTATTATAAGGGAAATTTCTGAGCAATAAATTCAACAAATGCATTCTTGATTCGCTTACACCCAACTTTTCTCATAGTGAAATCAAAGCAAAATATAAGTAGAATTACTTGTTTTATTTAAAACCTTTGAAAATATCTCATATTAGTTCATTACTTTATCTCCAGCATCCAGCATAATGCCTGGCATATGACAGGCACACGATTAATAACTGTAGAACCAATGAGTGACACTCTGAAATGTGAGAAATCAGAAGTGACAAAATCCTAATTTTTAGAAAATTATCTAATGTGAATTAGACTAAACCACCAGTCATAGCCAACCACTGGCAGTGTCTGTCACTCTCATCCTAATCTGGCTCTCCGCCTCCATGGCAAGGAAACTGAGTTGCTTAGAGGCAGAGAACTGTAACAACAGATAATGTCTCTTCATGTTGCCGAGTTTTGAAAGCATTAGTACTTTGAATGATAAAACTACACAAGATTGGGTTATCCGATTAGCTTACCTGGGAGAGCGTGGTGCTGGTAACACCAAGGTCATGTATTTGGATCCCCATACTGGACAGCCACCAACAAAACAAAACAAAAAAACTACACAAGATTACAAAACAACTATACTCTTAAAATACGGATATGTTTTCATGCTTACCGATGATTTTACTTTTACTGCATCAATTCTGTTATAAACTGGAGTGCAATATACAATCAGCATGAGGAGACTCAGAAGAAAGGCACTGCAGCTTACAAATTCAAAAAAGTAAAGTCCTCCACACAAAGTACATTGTGAGACAACTTCTTCACAGATAAAGGCCAGCAAAGACAGCAACTACAAAAGAAGCAAAAACAAGACTTCCGGTCAAGATGGCGGAATAGACGGTCCCTAGCATCATTCTCTCCCACAAATCAACCAATTTAAACTACAAAAACATAACATCAAGTGAATATGGAAAGGGGAGGCGTCCAGCAGGGGAGGCAGAAGCTCCACAGAGACCACATGCCCTGCGGGCCGCAGCCACACGATCCGGCAGATAGGCTTCACCGCTGCCACGTGGCTCCATTCCCAGCCCAGTCCAGTGTGCACAGAGAGGGAAGACATCTGGCAGGGGAGGTGGAGACTCTGCAGAAACCACACACCCTATGGGGCTGCCACTGCGTGATCCAGCAGGTAGGCTTCACCACAGGCACCCGGCTCCATTCCCAGCCTGGCCTAGTGCGCTCGGAGCAGGGAGATGTCCGGCAGGGGAGGCGGGAACTCCACGGGGACCACACTGCTGCCGCGCGATCCAGCAGCCCGGCCCAATGCGTACAGAGCACAGAGTCGTCCAGCAAGGGAGATAGAAGGTACACAGAGTCCACGCACCCTGTGGGGGGCCACCGCCGTGCAATCCAGCAGCAGGTAGGCTTCACTGCCACCACCCGGCTCCATCCCAAGCCCAGCCTAGCGCGCACAGAGCAGGGAGACACCCTGCAGGGGAAGGGGAAGCTCTGCCGAGACCACACGCTCTGCGGTGCCTCAGTGCATCCCAGCAGCCCAGGACAGAGCGCACGGAATAGGGAGAAGTCCAGCATGGGAGGTGGAAGCTCAGCAGAGACCACACACCCTGCAGTACTGCCCCGTGATCCAGCAGCCCGGCAGAGTCCAAGCTGACCAGAGAGGGGGCTCCCCGGAGAGGCCCAAGACCCAAGGCAACCACATACGCAAGGCACTAGTGGCTAACTGAGTAGTCACTGAGGTAGCCATACCAAATTGGCAACCACAGCAACATCTTAGTCAGTCAATAGTGTCAAACCGGTGGACTGTGAAACTCTGCCACAATGAATAAACATCAAAAAAAAGATACCAGAAATATGAAAAATCAAGAAAGTATACCACCAAAGGATAATAATTCTCAAGCTCTAGATCCTATAGAACAAGAAGCCCTTGAAATGGCTGACAAGGAATTTCGAG